AAAAGACATTACAATGAGCTAATAAAATACTGGATGCTAAAGGATGTAAGTCAGGTGTGAGCAGATTGGCTTTCTTACCCACATGACCAAGCAAAATAATTTGGCTACAATGACCACATGTGCAATGGAACTTTGGAAAAGTTGAAAGTTTATGCTTTGTATTAAGAGAGTAGCACTTCTCAGCTCTAAACAATAGAACCTGAGCAGAAATTTGGGCCCAGAATTGCTTAATGCCCTAAGGGTTTTTCAAAGAAGCTATAAGTTTGGGTATTGTGGTAAATTTTTGAAGAGCATTATGCAGGCCAAGCAAAACAAATATGTGAACTATTCTAACTCTGAAAATGATGAGTGATATTTAGACAGTGCCTACAGACTTCTTAGGATACCCTTAAGCTTCCCAAGTACATTCACAACAGAGGGAGATCCACTGTAATTAGGAATGCCGCCCTCCACCTGACTGTCTTGTAGACTCTTGGCATCGTTATGCTATGTGACTCCCTTGATCCTGGAGACATGTTTGTGTTTAGGGTTGTTGCCAGGTGTACACAGCCACAACAAACTACTGATAAACATGGTCTTACTGCAGTTTATATTCTGGTGGTGGACAGAGTTAACCTACAAAGACCCCCACACAGGCAACATCACAGGACAAGTCAACTGGAGCTTGCAAACTCAATGCTTTCAGTATGAGATGCTTACTGTTTGGGAAGGAGGGCCACCCAGATCAGCACTCCTTATTCAACCCCAGCAAGTTGAGGTTTCGTAGACTTGGGGCCCAGAGTTGTATCATCTTTTAAAATTTTAAGAAATATAATATATCTAAGTTTTGGTGTGAAATTCCATCATATTTAATAGTGTGTGGAACCCAAAAGCCCCTCTCTATGCTGAAGTTGGCTTGTAGATGGCCATTTGCTGACCCTTTTCTACCTCATTTGATAAGTGTCAAATGAGGAGCCCATCATGGAGGGTCACTGAAGATCAGAACTGGAGAACCACAAAGTAAGGCATTCCTAGAAAGCACCAGCCTCTTCCCCTCTCTGCCCTCTCAACTTGCTGTCCTAGAAAACTTTTGTTTACTATTGAGACTCAGTCCAAACACTACTCTCTGAAAGACCAACTCCATGTCTCATAGAGCCTCTAATACTCCTACAAATCACTGCAATGGCATGTACAGCATTACATTTTAATTTTCTTTTCACAGAAGGATGCCACTAGGGATAAAGTCCTTCAGGGCAAGGAATGTGTTTCAGCCTTGTCTACATTTCTGGTACTTAACATCACTGCTCAGCTTGGTTAAGGACTCAAAACTGCTTACTAAAGAAATGGAAGACTTTTTAGATAAAAGAGTTACTTAAAGTGTGATTCCCATACTAACTACTACAGAATCCTTCCACAGCCCACTCTTGAATATTCTGATTCAGGAAATAAAGAGTCTGCTACCGAGTCTTGCTTTAAACTAGCTTCTGGGTGAATTTCAGGTGCACTTGTTTGGGGACGTGTTGGCTAAACTGTAGGCCTCAAAAGGAAGAAAAAAAGGGTCTTCTCTGGTCCTTATATTTCTAGCATCTAGGCATAGTGCTTGGCACAAAGCAGACACTCGCTGTGTACTTGATGAATGAATGAATGGATGGGTAATGAATGAAAGCTAAAAATTAAGTTGCCACGATGCACGTCAGACCTCTAATCGGAACACTAGCCAGCATTTCATTCATACCTTTATTTACACTTACCATAAGGCACCAAGACAGTGCAGATATCTGGTCAGCATTTACACAGAGGATTTAGTTCACAGAGTATATCCTGCTCTGTGGATAACCTCCCTTACTCTCTCCTGTAGGCTTGGGAGAGGACTTGGAGGAAATCCCAAGGCATTTGGATTGCTGATTCAATTACTATATCTTTTAATGATGGCAGACAAGGAAAGCAAGAAAGATTGAATGCAAAGAAGATGCCAAACTCTCACCTTGGTCAGTGGTACTAGAAATGATCATCTTCCATCTTCCCTGCATCCCCTACCCTATAACCACAGCCCTTCTTCTACAGTCCCCAGTTGTTAACAAGCCAGCAGGAACAATTTCTGTTACACTTTCTCTCCCTTCCTCTCTCCACCCTCTGGTGGAAGGATAATGAATAACAAAACGCACAGAATAAAAATGAAATGACAGCAAAAATAATGAAAAAAACATTTGGTCATTTTCTGGAAGTAAGACTGTAGCAGTTAACTTAAGGTAACTACTAATCCATATTTCAAAAAGGCACACACAATTTAAATCTGAATAATATACTTTTCTTGTTTTTCTGTGCATGATTAACTCTTTCTGCCCAGATCCACTCTGCTCTCTTTGATGTTTTCACTCAATTCAAATTAGGACAGATGTACAATTTTCCCAAACCAATAGACCACAGTGAACATAGCCGTGAAGGGTTCCCTAGCCTCACATGAAAATTAACAGATTCTTCCAGGCAGGCTAGGAATTATAATGCTACTTTTCCACCCACCTTGTTCTTCCTCTGATCTTGGAATGAAGAGTAGAAATTAAAGGTCCAAGTATAAAATAACATTACTAGTTCTAAGAATGTCCCTCACGTGTCCCCTACTGGAATATAGTTACTTAAGAGCCAGAGTGTTTTATCATCACTGCATTTCCCATGTCCTTCTCAGTTTATACCTTTAAAGAAACATTTAAAGACTATCCAAATGAATAAAACAGGAATGAATGAAACCTGTACAGTAGTATATGGCAGGCATCAAGTTCAAGAACCCATTTCCATATACTCCCGGTCCACTGACCACAGTGGGTAACAATTCTTGTATCATATTTCTGCCTCCCAGTAAATAGTCAATAGCTTTATTAGAGATCAAGTCTTAGGTGGTGAAGATAACTGTACAGATCATGGCTTTTTACCTTATAGTATTTCCTCATAGTTTTGTCATTTATTTTGTCCTGCCCAGTCAAATCTTGACAAAAGGGAGACAGTTAACCATCTCTTTCCACCAAGTTCTGTTACAGGCAGTTCTTAGCAATATGGGTGAATACACATGCCAACCATTTATTCTTCTGGTTTCTCTAAACAAGTAATCTTTCTTGAGTAATGAACCCCTTTGAGACTATGACAAAAGCTATGAAGCCTTTCCCCCAAGAGATATATTAACACTTGCATATGCTTACAAAAGCTTATGTACATTCTTAAATGATTTATAGATGCATTGATATTCACATACAAATCCTTCCTTTATAGATCCTACTCTAAGCTATGTGAAAAGGAAAAGCTAGACATCTACTCTGTATTTTTCTGGCTTTCCAGGGTGATTGTCCCACAGAACTATAATTCAACAATTAAATTTCGGATCTGTTCTAAAGGGTAGTAAGTAACTCAGTATACAAGATTTTCAATTTCAGTATTACCAAAATGTGGAATTGCTATTTTATTTATTCAATAAACCACCCTTATGATCTTTCATAGCTGCATTTTGAAATATCATAAGTTTCTCTCCTTAAGTGTTTTATCAGGTCTTATAAGACACTGAAAATTTCCTTTCACTTCTTGAGTAATCTTACTATTGTTGATAAAGTAGTATGAGTATCAGTGTACAAAAATTCAGGCTTTGGAGTCACAAAACCACCCTTTACTTCCCAGGTAACCTCAGGTAAGTTATATAACCTGTTGCTACCTTAGTTTCCTCATCTCTAAAAGGTAGACAACATAGAGTTCTCTGCAAGGTTCCGAGAGTATTAAATGAGCCAACACAAAGAAAGCACCTAGTGTATCACATGGGCTGTAGTCAATACTCACCAAATGGTAATGAATGCTACTATAAATATCTATAAAAAAACTTATCATAGTCCTCAATAAAAGGAACCTAGTATATTTATAATTCTTGGAATTTGTATCATTATCTTATAAGTCACCTTAGGGGTAGGGAAATTGCATTCTCATTTTTGAGACTTCAAAGCCTAGTCAGCACAGATCACTGAAAGCCCTCATGTGGAAATTGGGAAAGACATGAAAGATATAGTCCATGGCTTCAACCGTCCATAATTCAGCAGATGTTACAAAGCCAATGGTGTCTCACAAAGCCTATGATGCCAATTCAATGCAGTTCTGGGTCCCAAATTGTTCTTACTCATTCCATTTGCACTTTCCTGCTGTAATTTCCTACTTGAGCTTTTACCTCTTAGAGGGAAAATGTCTCTACTGATTAATTTTTATGCTTTCATCTGACATAAAGTGAGAACCATACAACCAACTGCACAGGTTTCCTTTCCAGTCCCAGTTGCTAGGAGAACTCAGAGTGGAGTTTGCTGCTCACATTTTGCAATGCAATCAATTCACATATCAGCAATATATCTTTCCCTTCCCTCTCTTGATGTCACCTCTGTTCTGTTTAATGCTCAAAGGCCATCACACAAAATGTAGATTTTTCAGACTCTTTTTTAAATGTGTGCAAATTGTGCCTTAAGCAATCAATCACTTCAAGCCTTTTAGAAATAATCAAGGCAACAAGTTTTAATAATTATTGATCACTTCCAAATACAGGAAACCAGACACACAACTTCTCTACCTTTTCTTATCAAGTTATAGGAAGACTTATAATTTGTGGCCAGAAAATGGCTTAAGCATTTTAATCACATTTTCCTAAAGTCAGAACCTTTTATTCTACATCTCTCAGAAGTTTCCTGTATATGATACTCTCTCAGCTGACCGGAAAACCTTTGCGAGACAAGGTAAGGGAAATTCAGTCAACCCAAGTACCCACTAGCTGGCATTTAAAGTTGGCTGACAGTGAAAAAGCAAACCATTCCATGAGGCATAGCAGGATCTAAAATACCAACTGCTGGAATCACTCAAAAGGCTCTGGAAATTTTTCTTGGAGGGCTTTCTCTTATGAAGATAAATGACAACTCAAGTCATTTTTGCAACACTACCACCTACCCACAGGCCCCCCTTTCATTGGTCTAGCACAGAAAGAAATCTCAGAAATAGAAGCAATTACTTACATCTATAGGTCATCTCAAAGCTGTCACTGATGTTCACAATATCAATCTGGGGGAGCAGCTTTGGGGGCTCTGTGAGTTGTGACAAAGCAAATCTAAAAGCGGCATGTTCCTGTGACTGCTGGTTTGGAAATAATCCCCCTGTGAGGAAAGAAAATGCAATATGGTATCAGGGCTAGAGACAGGTCTTAGTTCCTCAGTGATCTACCCCAGAGAAGCTCTTTTCTCTCTCATGCCAAACTCACTAGTCATACCTTTCAGCAGTAGGGATGAGAGTTCAAAAAGACTCAACTAGACAGACATTGAGCTCTTCTATAGAAGAGCTTTTGGTGACAGAGCCCTTAATATCCATCACTCTGCCCAAATGTGTCATGTGTCTTCTCCACTCAGCTAAGGTCAGACAAGGTAGGAGTCCTGTGGCATTTCTATTCCTCCTCCCTTTTGCAAGGAACCTGGAGCCTGTACTCTTACATGCACACACACCTCCCTGTGCCTAACTTGTCTTGCATGGGCTAAGTCTCCCACCACAGAGCCTGGCAGGAAGTAGAGGCTGATAATAGTGGAAAGGTGACTGAAATCTAGGTCTGGGACTCTGTGGGCTTCTCTAGCACTGTAATTATTTTCTTTGACACTTTGATCTTTGATCTGGCAAGACCCACACATAATTTAACTATTCTATTGCCTCCAAAGTTTTTAATTCACTACCTGTGAAGACTCTTGGTTTCCTGCAAGTAGTGTTTCGCTTTTTTCTTTCTTCATGTTTCCAGCTTCTTTGGAGTGACTTGTTACATAAGGGATTACCATTGTGTGTTTGCATGTTAGAACCTTATGCTTTGAGGCTGTGGGATTTTAATAATGTTAAGAGGTATAAACATTCTATTCCAATAAAAACACAGGAAAGATACCTGTCAGGATTCCTGTTCCAAGAAACAAGAATAGGCCTTACCTTTGTATTTATTGTGGATATATAAGTGAATTAAATACATTGTTGTCAATTAAAATCAGGTATTTCCAGAAACTGAACTATAATGAATGTTTCCAGAGAAGTGTACCTCAGATCTGCCAGGAATCACAGTCCCAATAATGTACTTCTAACTTCTTTGACAGTGGGTATTTGTTTGTTTTTAAGAACAACAAAAATGGATTGCAAGGCTTTTATTAGACATTGTAAAAGCAGAATCAAGTCTAACCTCATGGTGGTGATATTTTCATCATCTGTTGTACAATTTAATGTTTCTACCTTTTGTTTGAAAACAGCAAAAATGATTTTATCAGTTGTTTGAGAAAGTTGGGGCTACATATGATGAAAAATCTGCAGAGACACACGAACAAACATAATATATACATGTACACAAAACACCCCCATGCATTTATACCCATGGCAATAGACACAAATATACCTGAAGAAAGCAAGTCTGAGTATCTCTAGACAACCGTTATACCCAGCAAAACGTGGGAAGTGTGTAAGTGCAGACATAACCAATGCCACGGTAAGAGCAAGTGATTTCCATATGTGCTATGCCCCCATTTTAAAGAGTAAAAACAACAAAAAAGGTCATTCTTGATTCTGTTGGTCCACCCTTCCCTCTCAGATGACCACACCCCAAACTCTTCTCTGTCCTCTTCCTCCTCTCCTGCAGTGAATGGAAGAGAGCAGGTGGGCGGTGGGAGGTAGAAGCTACAGGCTGGTACAGGCTGGGCTGCAGGAAGTTTTGCATGTGAGGCAAGGCACACGTACACATATACACTTCTGAATGCAGCTTAACAGGTGTCAGGAAACAAAGCAAGTTACTCCACGGCCACTCTAACCTTGCTTGGAGCCAGCAAGCTGGAGAGGCCCAAACAGGCACCACTGCAGTGCATGTGTGCAGACCAAATACCACCTGCACCACATCCTCCCCACCCACACACACACAAAGAGCACCAACTATCAACAATGGGACTTTCCCTAGTGGAACCAGCTTCCTATGGGGGGAGAAAAGAGAAAGCAAACCAACCAAGACGCCTCCAGGCAGAGCAATGTGTTTCATTCCGGGACACAAACAGCACAGAAATGCTGGTCACATTGACCCCCATGCCTCAGGGACATGCTTGGTCATTGGTGTTGTTGCTTCTGTTTGTTTTGCTTTCTCCTATGATTGTGAGGAGCAGAATTATCTATCAGCTCCCTTCTAAATACAGGGATGGGGGACTTTTAAGAAGCCCAGCAACCAAGAAAGGGAAATGGGGAACAAAAAGGCATGCAGCATGTTGAAAACTGCCTCTAAGTTGAGAGGATGGAGCCAGTGATGTGGACGGCTTACAAGAGGGGAAAGGAGCGTGTGTAAAAGCTTGGCAATGTCTGTGGACAGAGCATCTAAGAGGAGGGGGCCATGGAGGGAACAGAGAAAAGGAAGGCTAGGAAGTCCAGGATTGGGGGCATAGGGAACACAGTCCAGCATGGCAGACAGCAGAGGGGGCAATGAGAGGGGTCCAGAACAGGAGCGAGCCCCTCACCAATGGGGCCTGGGGCATTATGTTCGCAGCTACAGTAAACCTAGCACCTTCCCTCCTTCTTTGAGAGGGTCTTTCTCCTCTCCTCCACCAAGAAATGCTGCCTCCTGCAATCCAATCCATACGTGCACGTTTAATATGTAATCACACACACATACACCCACATATATACTTATATAAATAACTGATATCGGGCACCATTTACCAAGCCACAGAGTTAACTCCTTAAACCCCCACAGCACTGTTCCAAGCAGCCTGATAATTTTTTTCCCCTTCTGAAGCAGTGGTTCCTCCATTTCACATGCTTGTGCTCGGAGTGTGGGCACCTGTGTGTGTGTGTGTGCGTGTGTGTGTGTGCGTGTGTGTGTGTGTGTAGAGCACTCCTCCTCTGCCCTTCATCGGATCACAAGAAGCCCCCTCCCCTGGCTCGCAGCCCTCTTCCTCTTCCTTCCACGCTGAGGGCTTTACATCGCCAAGCACATCAGCTCCTACAGGGGGATGGTGAGAGACCCCTCCCCAAATTATCTCTAGCTAGATTCAGAAAGTCCCTCCCCAGGGTACCCCTTTCACTCACCGATCTGGATATTGTTGGGGAAATTGGCACCTACTACCGCGCCTAGGAAACCGGTGCAGAAGAAGGCAAAAATGTGCTGCATATTCCTTTTTGCATTGGCGAGAAAGAAGCCCAGGTCCAATCATAGATTTGGTGTTTCCCCCCCCTTCCTTTTATTCCTGTCGTTGCTGTGCCTGTTCTTTTCCTCCGTGGTTCCTTCCTTCCTTGCTTGCTTCCTTCCTTCTGTGAGATTTGGAATCCGAGCACTTAAACTGCAGCGTTAACACCAACTGACAGCCAGATTAACTGAGCACGGAGAGAAGCCCGTCCTCATGCTAGCCGGAGCGCTCGCTCCCCCTCTCCTCTTCTTTTCTCTCTCTCCTCTCCTCTTGCAGCCTGCCTGCCTCTCTCTCCCTCCCTTGCTCTCTCACTCTCCCCCTCACACTCACACAAGCAGTAAGCTCTATGCTAATACCTAGGGAGCCAGCTTCCAAGCTAGTCTCCCCCACCTCTCACCCCTGCCTCCCCATCCTCACTGTACCCTCCTTTCTGTTTGTGCAGAGGATGGGAGGGCTTGTTGCTGAGAGTGGTAGGGGTGACCCACAGTCCCCTTCACCTTCCTCACCTTCTGTAGCTCTCTGCCTGTCCCCCAGTCAGCCCCATACTACTGGAAATGTGGGTTCAGCCATAAGTCAGTAGGTGGCAGGGGGTCCCCACAATAGTCCTGGATTCACTAGCTACTTGATCTAGGTCACTTTTTCTAGGAGTGCACAGGCTGTGCTGGATATGTCTCCTGCACTCCACTGGCCCAATTATTCCTACACCTAATTCTCAAGGGGAAGACCTTAGAAATCCCTCTTAAGAAATTCAAAGAAAAAAGCAATCCACACACCCCACCCCCATGGTTAGAGAGAAAGACAACAGGAGGCTCAAGAATGACTAGCAGTTGTTTTGACTTGGATATTTGGCATTCCTGTTTACCTTTATAAGAACATTGGGGTATCTTTAAAATTCTAAGCATTTGAAATAGGCCCCCTTCCCCCCGTTCTTGCATGCAACCAGAGTCTATAGCATCAGAACTGTGTGGGTGTTCAATAAAGACTAAGGATACTCACATGGGGCAATTACATGAGTCATTTTGTAGGGATTCTAATGACAGGATTCAGGCTTTCAGTTATCTCTAGATGATGGTCATGATAGTGTATGCTGGAATTCCATAAAACCCACCTAGTTCAGGGCTTCCACTGAAATAACCCAAAGAAAGAAGCACTGTGTTCAGGAAAATACTGTGAGTTGTGAAGAAGCAGTTGCTAACAGCAACTGCAGGCACTTTACAGTTTATCAAGCAACATCACAGTGGTATTCATCTATGCTGACACCAACCTCATGAAGCAACCTTGAGTCCTGTTTTTACAAATGAAAATACCAAGGCTCCAGGTATTCCATCACAAAGATACAGACCCACTAAGACTGCCAACCTGCACCCTCTGCCCTGGCTGGGACTCACATCCAACCCAGGATTGCCCAGGAAAAGCAAGGTCCACCTTATCTTTAGTTGGAAAGAGGGAAAAAAGAGTGTGACCAGATATTTCTTTGCCATTTGAATAGATGATTTTATCCAGGGATTCTTTACTTTCTTCCCCAGTTCTGCATAGTCACACACACTTGTGTGATAACTGTGAGGGATGGGATTTGCAAGAAATCCCAGGCAGTGTTCAATGGAGCCCCCAGAGTAAGAACACCTTGGAGGTCAGATGCTTTATGACTTCCTATGTCCTTTCACGTATATGAATTAGCCCAAGTGTTTTTTTACAGCTGATGTTTATTCACTATTTGTTATGTGCTAGGGATTATGCTCTGCAGTGCATGCATGGCACCATTTATCCCACAGCCACTCCTGTGGGAGGTAATCTCATTCCCATTTTATTGATAAAGAAACTGAAGCTGAGTAATTTACCCAAATTTCCACTGCTAACAAGGAAGAGATTGGGCATTTAAACACAAGGAACTGCCCCATTAGTCTCAAACCCTCTACCCTTAGGCTCTGACAGAGGAATTACTGGATAGGGACATTCTGGGGTAAGCATCAGTTTGGGAAACTGGGAGAACAGAGTCTGAAAAGATCACTTCTAAGGCCAATATTAAGAGGCTGTGATTCAATGATTCCATGTTATAGTTTCTCCATTTGCATTTTTTGCATCTTACTATTTTGAATGGTACCTGGGGATCTTTCAAGTTCTGTGAGCTCTGTGCCTGGTAATAATAATAATTAGGCTGTCACTGAAGGTTTCACACTTTGTCACCTTTTAGAAGATCTTAAAGCCCTTCATAAGGATTAATTAGCAAAACCTCAACACCCACTTGAGTGGGTAAGAATTGTTTTGCTTACATGTGTGTATGGGACAGAGGGTGCTTAAAGGAGTGAAAATATGTGTTTTCTGTTCTTTGTAAATCATATGGTCAGACAGATCTTCTAAAATATAGTTCTATTTCACTGCCCTGCTCAAGTATGATCAATAACATCTCTTGGCCTATTAAATACATAGCTGTTCAATGATTAAATAAGCATGAAATTTATACATTTCACACTTGAGCAAATTACATTTAGGTTTTCTCTTCAAAATTCTGTTCAATTCAAATGCTGTTGGGAATCCGTTGTGGTTGGGTGCTGGAGGATATGGAAAAGGGACCAGGTCCAACCTCTGCCTCAAGGCAAGTGAATCTGGTGTAAGAAGAACACAGATGATCTTAGTCAGCAGTTATCCATAGTGGACCAGGACATGTGCTCTAATAGAGAGGTAAACACCAGAGTAAGGAGCAAAGCATCCCATGTGTCTACCTGTAAGATCAAGAGCGGGGCTTGAAAGAAATCACAAGCAGAAACCAAACCCAGGGCTGGGGGAAGATATGTAAAGAGGAGAGATCAAGCATGGCTGAAGGCAGGAGAGGCTGCTATATGCTCTGTTAGCCTTGAAATCACAGTGCACATCAGAACACAGAAACACAAAGAGGTTAGGGCCAGGATTTGCCCTCCAAGACGCAGGAGCAAGGGAGAATCATGGGGCATTTCTGTTGCACTAGTGCAACAGTGACAAAACTGGGTATGCTCATGAGGAAAAAGAAAAAAAAAACTGTCCACTGTTAGAAGGTATTTTTCTCATTTCCTCAGCCTCAAAAGTAAAACTATGTGTCTTACAGATTATTTCCCTAAACAAGTTTCCATGCCACTCGTTATCAGTTCTTCATGTTCTCTCCTTATGTTCACTGATTCTATTTACCATGCCCAGTATCTGTCTGGAAGACTGATAAATCCTAAAAATATGTGACCCACTGATTTACACATCTGTACACCTATCATCTCATGTCATCCTCCCGTAAGGACAGGAGTTAGACCCTACTTTATAGATTGGGTAAGTTTCAGGGTAGCTAGATGGTTAGCCTGTGGGTCTCAAATGGAAGTAATTTTATCCCTTTGGAGGTGTTTGACAATATCTAGAAATGTTTTCTATCCTCACAACTGGGGAAATGCTTCTGGCTCTGTGTGCAGAGGCCAGGGATGCTATCAAACCTTGAAGAGTGCTCAGGAAAGCCCCTTCAAAATGCCAATTAACTGGCTCAAAACATAAATAACACTGATGCTTCAAAAACCTTTCTTAAGGAGACAGAGCATGTGACCCACCAGGGCCTTGTTCCAGCCTCCCACTCCTCTATCATATTACACTGAAGAAATATAAAATTTATCTTAAGACTTTTTTATGTATCAAATGGGATACCTGAAGATGTCTGCTCCTTAAAATCCAAATGGATGAGTACCCAAATGGAAGGACTCCAGGCAGATGATGGGCCAGTGGAAAGCCTTTCAAATACTGGCCAGATTGTGCCCCAGAGACAGCAGGGCACCTACTCTTAAATCCATTATGATCTATCCTGGTTCCTGCTTTAAATTCTGCTACCATGTAGCCAAAATAGCACTAGATTTACTTATTTCACTACAAATCAAGGAAAATGGTGTTGGGCAGGGATTTCAAATTCATATGCCTGTTTGGGCCAAATAGGAAAAGGAATGAAGTATGCCAGAAAAGGGGGCAGGCCAGTATGAACAAAGAGAAGTACTAGATATATCCTGCAGAGGCTGTTGCAGGTACTCAATGCTAGCTGCTTATTGCTAAAAGGAAGTAGAGGCCCAGGGTGCAGATGTTTAATTTTCATGAGAAAGTATAAATGTGAATTTTGTGAGTTTTATTTTTAATATTAGGTACCTTTTCTGCAAGGGCCAGATAAAAGGGGTGAGGTAGGGTGTGAAGGTGTTATCTCTGATCTGAATCTGACCCCTAGGCCTCAGAGTGCCAGGAGACAAAACTGAACCTCTCTACCCAATATCAGTTTGAAGGCCAAATTCATTTCCTATCTGAGCCTCTGTTTCCTTGTCTATAAAGTGAACAGATTAGAAGAGGTAACAACTGCATATTGCTCTGGTTCTGGCACATCATGCCTGCACTCAGCAGCAGGAACTGTGGTGAGGAGGAATAGGGATGGAAGCATGTCTGGAACAAAATTTTGCTCTACATCTCCAGATACCTGCAACAAGGCCACTGCAGGTCCCCACCATCCCAGGCTCCTGTCTGCACCTGTAGGAAGTGAGGCTTCTTAGGCTTCTAGTGTGAAACAATTCAAGGGGAAGAGCCATTAAATTTATGGTCTGAAAACAGATTGCTGACATCTAACAAACTGGTGAAAACCCACTCAGAGAGAGGGGACCTCTGGCTTTAGAAAGGCACCATTTTCAAAGATGTTAAAAAATAATAATGATAATATTTTCCATGTTTCCTACCACAATTCATATAGAAAGCTCCCAAAATACTACACAAACTGTGTGTGGTGATAACACACCCCAAAGAATGTTATTACCCACCCTGGAGTTCTGCCAGGGTTAACAGCATTTTCTATCTTTTTCTTTTCTTCTTCTTTCAGTCTTCTCTCTCCTTCTCACACAAATGACAGCAGTTTCATAAATCCTTAGTATTACTAGGTAATTAGGGAGCAGTGCAAGTTTTGGAAAGCACCCTGGGGCAGCACCAATCCCTCAAAACAAAAAAAGGTCTA